TATAGAGGTAAAGAAAAAGGTAGCTGTGAGCTTTTCTGCAGAGTGACGGATTTTAGAAGGATGTTATCAGCTGTTAGAGTCTGTAGGTGTTACAGTGATGCCTGTGATAAGGCCGAATTGATAATTTTTCTCAGACTAGCTCTTTCATGAGATCAGTCAAGGGTTCATTTTCAAATGTTAATGCTCGTGATACTTAAGATACTTATTGGGAGGGTTGGAATGTTTTTAAGTTCCTCTTCCGTCATGGATAGTTTGGATTAACTAATTGAATGATACTAAAAGGTTCTTTTGTAGGTGGAATGAGAGGTAGCTGACAGCAAAGGATGAATTATGACTAACTCCTGTGAAGATAGATGATCTGTAAGGATAATTTGCCTTTGAATTTGACACAGGGCTGTCCTAAAGATTTGGGCGTCCTTCCTCTTCAAATTATGTTTCTCTTGATCTGTGACATTAAGAGCACAATTAATCACTATGTAGTTGATTACTCTGAGCCTCCTACAGTGAGGCAGGTTTTGGCAGAATCGGCACCTGCTGAGGGAGTCCTGCTTCATTATGAGCCATGTCTACAGGAATCAAAGTGTTGCAGGGCAGGGGAGGGCCCAAGGGTGATGTGAGCAACTGAGCTGGGAGGAAAATGAGACTGAAGACTGTTGCCATTTTTTTTTCTTTGTCTGAAACTCTGGATGTCTGAAACTTCATAGATGCTTAACTTTGTGGGGTTTGTTTTGGGTTTGTTTGAGTTTTGAGCACACACATTTGAAGTCCGAGAGTCACAGGTATGTCATGCTTGTGGAATTGAGCGGCTTACTCATGCCTAACTATTTTACTGGATCTATCAGTAGCTATTAGAACAAGTAAGCAATGGTTTTGAAAATAAGTGTTAACAGAGAAGCTGGATGCTGTTCAGAAGGTCCAGATAGGTCTGCCTGTTACTGTTCAGTTAGTCAGACAGTATTTTTAAATCTCAATTAGAGAAGCATCAGTAGACATCTCTGTGGGCTTTTATTCAGTCTAAATAAAAAGCCTTTGCTTTTGTGATATCCGTGGGACAATAATATATTTGTATTGGCAGCTGATTAAGTAACACCTCAATGGCCTGAAAACATCCTGTGCCAATACATCAACTTCGAGTTTGTTTCATCTATTGAATTCTGGGTTGTATCTGTCCTCTGTAAATCCACAGAAGGCTTTATTTTGAGGCTCCTCATTCTTCTTTCCTTCAGATGGTGTTACCTGAACATCACTGCCTTGTTCGCAGCTTGCTGGGAGTAAATTCAGTGCTAATAGTACCTGTTGTCAGAAGAAGATGTTTTCAACTGTGGAAAATGCTTTCTCATGCTCCTGGCCTGTCATGGGGGGGTTCTCCTCTTCAGCTGAAATGACTGAAGCACTGGAAATAACACTGTGGTTTGCATTCTGTGCTTAAGAGTTACGACATCTTTAATGCAGGGGTGTACTCTTGCTGTGTGCTCACGTGAAGCCCGACACAGCAGGTTCCTGCAGTCTCTTGAGACTGGGCACTACCCAGATGTATGTAACATTTCTGTGATTTCTGAATGTAAATGTGATTGTGTTCCTTTACAGCTGCAGAACGACCCGGCTCAAGCAAGAACTAGTTTTGAAGCAGGTGGCAGTACCCAGACTCTCTGCTTAAACTGCTTTCTGCCATTGAATTCAAACGCACAAACAAGGTATCTTAACAGAAAAAGGCATCTGTGCTGTGTTCTCCAAGTGCTTCCTGTACACGCGTGTGCTTTGTATTTTCGCCATACACCCTTCCTTCCTTTGGGAAGCAAATTAGAATGAGAGGGGAGTTGCATCCGGGCAATGGATTTTGGCATGTTCGTATATGGAGTTTGAGGAGGCAAGATGAAAGGTGACTTAAGATCTGGATGAAGTGAAATTTGTGGCAATTGTTCCTTTTCTTCTTCACTAGGCATTGTTTGCAGGTCTTCTTTACGATAAGTGCTTTTGCTCGTCGTTTTGAAGTTACAGAGGCCAAAAAGCAAAAAGTAAAGGCTGTAACTCTACCTTCCTACATAGGCTCTGAATAATGCATATGTTAATTATTGCCTCAACGTTGAATTATGAAGATGGTAATAAAATACAGGGCTTGCAACAAGACTGCAGCTAAGACAGAAACTTGCTCTCTTTTTGCTTTCAGAATGGGTTTTTCTGCATGATCAATAATGCTAACCTGGCAGGAGAAGGAGGACAGATCAGAGTTTGAACTGTTCCTGATTTCTTCATCTTTTGTCAGATTGCTAGGCAGACAGTAGTTTTTAGAGAATAGTCTGTTATGGTCGAGAGGGGTGTAGGAAGTGTTCTCTATCAAAGGTCTGGCTGGTCTGCTCTGAGCACCAAGCAGCGTTCTACTCCTTGCACTCAGCTGGAAAAGATTATAAAGTGGGTGGACAAGTTGGTTTGTTGGAAGCCGGGGTTCAGTGCTTCGGCCCATGTTGTAAAATGACTTAAAAATTACAGCAGTTAGACGTTCGTGTTGGACCTGACGTGTCTGTTTCTCTCCAGAGTCCACAGTGTCCTTGTCACCAGACGTAGTCCTGCAGTATACAAAACACCTCGCATTTCTTTGAAAGCTTGAAAAACCTCTTAACGTATTTGGCTTAGCTTAAGGCATTTTTTTTGCCATGCCAGCTGTTACTTAAGTACCAGTTTATTATAACAAAGTAAATAATGAGAATGAAGCAGGTAGCTTTAAGGGTGTGTTGAAAGAAGTGAACTGCACAATGATATGAAGTGCTATCTAGAAGGGTAATAAGAATCCAGTACAGCAAACATTTCATGCCTGTCTGATAGCAAGTTTGGTCAAGACTGCAGGTTGAAAACATCATCTTTTCAGTAATTTGGTTTCTGTTTAGGTGACAAGTCAACTTCCTGATTTCAAGGAAGCAGTTCTCTGTAATTTAAGAATTGAGTCAGACTAAAGGGAATTGAAATAATGTAGTGAGTTATTAAAAATGAGACTTGTAAATATCATAGCCAGCTGGTACATTGCAAGAGATGGTTGTGAAGAAATATGTCAGCTGTGCTAAAATGCAGGTCCTGTAATTTGGTTATTTTAAGTCTGTTACAAGCTCTAAAACTGTGTAATATTTGGAATAGAACCTGTCTAGGTATGACTTGCCGACTTACAGAAGGTCATGTCGTTAAAATGACTTCTTTGACACCTGGGAATCAAGTACCTCCTTCAAGCAGACCAACTCTGTATCTGAGCAGCTTCATATGTCTTTTTGATCCCAATTCTGAGTGACTTAGAATGCAGGGTGAATTGAAATGGAATCAAGCACCTCCTTCAAGCAGACCAACTCTATCTGAGCAGCTTCATATGTCTTTTTGATCCCAGTTCTGAGTGACTTAGAATGCAGGGTGAATTGAAATTGGAGAGAGCTGGAACTTGCTGTCAAAGGCTAGCCTTGTCTTTATGGTAAAATTCAAAGTTACATCTGTGTGTCAGTTTGAGTTAAAAAGAAGCCATTCCTTCAGAAGCTGGTAAAATGGATGCTTTTATATTTCTTATTGTATTTAAGAACTCTTGTATGTCATCTGTCGTGATGATTTCTTAACACGGTCTGCTTAAGACTTGAAAATGAGAATTTACTATTGTCTTGAGGCTTTGAATGAAATTTTTTAAGTGTTTCAGGAAGTTATTAAAGAGAAATAAAGGGCTTTCAAAATAGCATTTGTCTTAAATTTTCAGGTGTGTGAGTTCTCAGTAACACTCATAATAGCTATTACTGACATATATTGACAAGAAAAATACAATAAAGGAAGAGGAAAGTATTTAATGTACTGGTAGATTCTTGTGTAATATTTTCTGCCCCAGAGCTTCTCTTGTGTTTTAAGAATACTTCAGAAATGGTGAAAGGCAGAAAAACTGTTACTCACAAAGGCTCTCTGTTAAAGGAGAATTGACATACGTTCTTTTTGTCACTGTTTTTAGAGCTTGCTCTTTTTTTGTTACCACTGTTCTTATAATTACATTATCTCTAGGGATTTAGTTTTTTCTGTAGTACAAGATCTTAGAAATCCTCCTGCCTGTAAAACATCTTTGCTGCTGCTTTAAAGACTTCGAGCTGTGTTTTTTAACTGTTAGGGACAAACTTGGCAGAATATGACTTGTGATGTGGAGAAGTGCTCATGTGAGCGTAGTGTGGAATCATTTAACCTTTCTGGAGATGGATTACCTGTATGAGGCAGCCTCTGGCAGAGAAGTGTGTGGCAGTGTTTTTATTTAGACCTCCCATAAGAATATGCAGGTGATTTTTCTCTTTCTGCCATGTTATATTGCATCAGTGAATCGTTACCTCTTCCTGTGCTCTTGTATTATCTGCAGTTAGTGATGGAGGAAGAAAGTATCTAGGTGCCATGGTCACTGCTTATTTTGGAGTGCAATTTATCCACCAGTCTGTGGTTTAGAAAGGCACATCATGATTCTGAGAGAAATGTGGTTTGTTTCTGGCGTTTTTGCAACATAAACTGACCTAGATTGCTCCTTTGACCTGTTAAGTCCTGTGGTTGCTTTGTTTCATTGGGTTGCTAGAAACTTTCCCACACCTTCTTGCTGTTCTGGAAGCTCATTTTCTTAAGCTGGCTTGAAAAGAAAGTGCTTGGAAACCAGCTTGGAGAATGGCACTTGTGCAAGGACTGTGAATCCTGTCTTGCGTCAGGGCACACAGTATGTTCTGGGTAGCTCATGGTAGTTGCCGACAGGGTTATTTCCATGCTTTGCCTTACTCTGCTGTTTCAGCAGAGTTATTCTGTTGTTAGATTTGTTTATCAGAACCTCTCCAGAGCTGTTTATTAGTACCCAAACTATTGTCTTAAGTTTTCTCTTATGTCTGGAGGAGAGATGGCAGCACATGATGAAGAGAAGCAGAAGAAATTTTGAGTAGCTTAAGAATATAAACACGCAAGAGCGTGTTCATTTTCTCCTAAAGTAAAGTGAGTGACTGTATGTTAAAGGCACCTTTGTGTTCTGCCACGCAGAGATGGTCAGCAGTCAGCCTCTCCCCATAGCAGACAGCGGAAAAAGGAAAAAGAAGAAAAGAACCAGAGCCACAGATCACGTCCCTGGGAAGTTTGAAGGTTGGTGGTAGCAACTAAGCATTTTTTTTTAAGGATGTTTTCTGTCCACTAAGTTTTCTTAGCAAAACATTGCTTTTTGACAAACACTGCAAGTTAGCATTTCTGTTTTTTTCTTTATCCCTCATGATTAGGTCTTTAGTCTCTTTTTTTCCTCTCAGTGGTGAAATCAGAGTCCTATTCATAATCTGATTTGGTGTTTGGGTTTTTACTTTGTTTTGTTTTTTTTTAGTAGAAACAGTGCTGATGTCAACATGTTTTGATTGAATAGATGTGAGCACAAATACTGTGAAGCGTTGTAAATAAAATAAAGTTCAGTGTGACAAAGCTGACGCAGTATAAAACTTCATAGTTGTCAAATAGCATTGCAAGGTACATTGCAAATTGAGATGGGAGCAGCCTTCTAGGTTTAAACATTCGAATTTCAGTTATACTTAAAACACTATCTCTGCAAGTAGATTTTGTGTGATAGGTGTTTTCTGATCAAGGAGTGAAATGTTTTCCACCTAAAAAAGTTGGTTCTAGGTTTTACACGAAGACAGGTAAAGTGGATGACATCCCAGCAATTGCTGAGATAGAAAATTTCTTGTATCAGCAAACTTGTAATTTTGATGCTGGAATGAAGGCTACTTTAAATTTTCCTTGAACTTAAAAGTGGGAAGTGAAAAAGGAGACATAATCAAGGCTGGCACATCTACTTTAATACTGCATAAATCTATTTTATGTCTTTATTACCAAAGGAATTTTTTCAGCTGCTGTCATATGAGGGATGCTCGTCAGATAAATAGCTTGTCGTGATGCCATTCCCTGAAATGCTTTGGCTAATGTGTCTCTTCTGCTGTATTTCTTTGGCAGACTTGTACAAGCTGACTGCTGAGCTTCTTGGTGAGGGCGCATATGCCAAAGTTCAGGGCGCTGTCAGCCTCCAAACTGGGAAAGAATATGCGGTAAAAGTAAGTATAGAATAAAAGCGGATGCTCTCCTGTCTGTAACATGTCTTCTCCCTCCTGGTATCTCAGTGAAAACCCATAGTTGAGAGGGTAATAGTGAAACCTTTTAGAAAATCTTTGATGCTTGAAGCGAGCCTGCCTTATAACCATTGAGATATGTCATCTTAAGCATTGTGCCTCCAGAGTGAGCAGCTATATCAGCTGCAGATAGAATTCACAAGCAGTAAATGACTGTGTGATGGTTAGATCTCAGGTCAAACTTTCCTCTCGTATCTTGATTTGATGGTAGTCCTACCAGTTTTTATCTCTTCTTATGAAAGAGGAGGCCACATATTTATCTGGCATGGCCTGCCAAATAATACAAGCTTTTGAGAATGCTGCTCTGAAGTCAGAGAGCATCGGTTATTGCCATTAGTTCATGTAAAGCTGTCTCTTATTTTTTGATAAGAGGTGAATCTTCTGTAATACTGTTCAGTTAAGTGTTAGGGCCCGTTTACAGATTTGTGATTATTCAGAGTCCCCCACATAATTCAAAACACAAATAATAGTGATAGGAAAGCTTTGTACTTGATTTTTCTGCAAAAAGCATAGGCACAAAACTTTAAGCCCCTTTAAAAATCTGCTCCTATAGATGCTGTAATTTTGTGTGTACTTCCTAGAATGGTTGAAGCTGGAAGTCTGGAATAAACAAACCGCTACATTATGAAGTAGATGTGATGAGATACGTCTTACATAGTACTGGTGAATGGTTGTTCCTCCTGTATCAGAGAACTCAGGCTGTAAAAATTGGAAATGGATCCTGGATACGGATGGTGGTAGTATTTGCAGTAATGTCATGAGCTTTCAGTTCGTGTAGCAATCATGCTACATGTCCTCTTTCAGCCTGAGGAGCGTGTGGAGGAAGGTGACTTCTTGTCACCTGGTGGTACAGAAGGGCTCTGAGTCTGAACCTGTATTTTCTTTAATATGTTGGCTCCTATTATTGGGCCTCCGTGAAGTCTGCGCTGTGAATCAGATTAATTTTGTGCTGAAGTTTAATACTTTTTACTTGTAATGACAAATCTCTTCTTTTTCACCATTCAGCGCCTGATGTGGCTGAAATCTATTTTTGTTAGAACTCAAAAGGATTTCCTTTTCTGCATGTTGCAAATTTAAAATGATGTAAGAGAAAGCTTGTGGTAACTGGTCAGTGACTAACATGTTGATCTAGTTCCTTACTTCTCTTCCTCTTGTCGTTTCTCTTGTCCTTTGAATGCCTTCCAGGGCTCTGCTGACACTGGAACTAAGTGACAGATGAGAAATTAAACAAACAAGGGTAGACTCTTTCTCTCTGGTGGGCGTGCCTGCGATTCAAGCTTTACATCAGCTATCTAAATCGAGAGCCAGATGCACAGTTCCTACAATATTTTTTTCAAATACGAGCTCTAACTCTTTCCACCGATAATTGAAAAAGATGCTGGGCATAGTCGGAGTCGGGTTTTTCGTGAAATAGAAACGCTGTACCAGTGTCAGGGCAACAAGTAAGTATAGAGTCTTGTGTGTATGTGTGGTTTTTTGAAGCATCTTGAGTATTTTTTCAAATTTTTAAGCCTCTTACGTGTGATTAGGTTAGGAGCTTTGCAGTAGTCTCCTGCTACAGTAGAAATACAGACTGGACCTATTCAAAATAAGAATTTCCCCTTCCCTTTCCTGTGAAATTTAGGGAAATACTTATAAATTAAGTTGCATAACTCAATTAACAACCAGGCCAGTATAGCCTGAATGCTCGTCAGTGATGTGTGGCTTTTGTCCAACTGGTGAGTTAACTTTTGACATTTTCCCCCGTGATTTCACCATCAGCAAAAGCTCACCTGATACTGGCTGCCGTGAAAGGAACAGTCTTGCCATTTATTTCCTTAATGTGTGGTTCGTCCTTCTCTCTGTGTCAGCCTTCCTGCTTTTTGCACTGGAGCTCTTAGATCAGGCAAAATATTTAGTTTTTGTTTGGATATGTGCTGACTTCACGTAGCCACAGGATAACAATCTGCTACTTGTGTCTGAAACAGCGTGAAAGGGTACGCGGCCGGTGGCAGCGTGCTCTGCGAGGGGTTTGAGCCAACACTGAAACTCCTGCTTTAGTTGTCTCTGTTAACAGCTGTTGCGTACATTCTAGATTATGCGAGCTAGTCTAAAAATGGTAACTAAGGTGCTGGATTTAATGTCGTGTTGACAGATGCCTGTCTGCTTCAAGCCCTGTGGTGTTCTGCTTTGTGATTTCCAGAGAGAAAGAATGCCAGTTTAATTAATTTTTTTTGGTTATTGCCTTCAGCACAAATACAATGTTCTAAATTATTAAATACAACCTGTTACCAGTTATCTTCCTGTTGACCGAGCAGCAGCAGAACTCTTTGACAGTCCTGTCTGATTCTGATGTTTTCCCTGCTTAAATTTCAGTGCGAGATGGAAATGCAGTTTTACTGCTGTAGGCAGCCAAAGCAACTTGTTTAATTAGAACTTTTATTTTTTGGTTACTTCTGGCACATCCTAATTATCCATGCTGCAACTCTTCTTCGCTCTGTTTACACTTTCTGCATGTTTCTTCTCTTTCCCATCTTTTTGTTTTTTAAAGGAACATTTTGGAGTTAATAGAATTTTTTGAAGATGATACAAGATACTACCTTGTCTTTGAGAAGCTGCGAGGAGGTACTGTGCTGTAACTGTGCCTTTCACTGAATCATCTTGGTCCTGTTTGTCTCAGTATTTTAAAGCAGAAAATGAAGTTTATTTTAAATGCTTGAGAATTTTAAGACAAAGTAGTAGTAGAGGAAATAATATACAAAGCTTGAGATATGGTTGTTCTTGAATATTGTGGGGTGTGGTAATACATTTACAATCAATTTCCGTAGTTAAGCGATGAAAACGTCGGCTCCGTTGAAGTGGAAGCTTTGGAACGTAGTTAGCGGGTCACGGTACCTTCAGGGAAGGGGAGATGTACAGTAGGTCAGGTGTAGGCATGACCTTAGCGCAGTATCTGTCTACTCTGGTAGCATTTTCCCTGGATGTAGGATTGACTTCATTTCCTGAAACTCACGGAGTGCTGGTGTGAAACATCTTGCTTCTGCCGCGGGTTGCTGTAATTGTGAAATAGCTCATGGCTATTCAAGGGCCAGTCAAGTGAGCGTGTGTGGACACTGATCACAGAATCACAGAATGTTCGAGGTTGGAAGGGACCTCGGAAGATCATTTAGTCCAACCTTCATCCTTCATCTCTAGCGTTTAGCGCTCACTTGGGGAGTGAGAAGGCTACATCAAACACTTTATGGACTTTCTCACATTTTTCTGTGTTAGGCATAATTACAGTATTAGTATTAATTACATGGCTGTGCAAAACCATGAGGTGAAGGTGTGGCCCCCACCCTTCAAAGAAAACCTGAATTTCTGAAGGTGTAAACTTCTGTCTGTAGAACATGATCCGTTGTCATTGGTCAAGATGGTTTTCAGTAGCAAACCATATGTACAAGAAATGCAACTTTTTTCCATATAGGTGCAGAACTTCGCTAAAAAGAGGAGGACCTGATGTATTTTTTATTATTTTTTGTAAAAGCCTTTGCTTACTTTCTCTTAAAATAAGTGCATCATTTCACTGTGGTTTCCTCTAACACTGTTCCTCTTAATGCACAGAATTTTCTTACAAATTAACTCCAGCAGGTCTTGATTAGGATGTATCTGCATTTATCTATTTTCCCATCTCCACCTTCTTCCTTTAATTAACCTTCTTTGACTGTGAGACTATGGTTGTTAGTGTGGCTGCACAGCTGGTGAGAGGATAATAGGGCTACACCTTCTTGCCTGTCTTAGCTACTGTTTTTAAAGTGGCCAGCTAGGGCTAAGGCTAGTTTTCTCTTCCAAGAATTTCAGCATTTGAACTGTTAGGTATGTGGATTTGAAGAAAGAAATAATGGGAGTTAGGAGTCACAACAGCTTCTGATGCACTACAGATTCTGATGTAAGCAGCGTGGCTGGCCAGAATGAGAACATTGATCTTCAGTGCAATCTTTATTTTAATAACTCCAGTCTCAGAGACAGGTGTTACTTACGATGCTGAGGCAACTTAGGTTCCATCCTTGCCTTGGCAGCATTTTATGATTGAAAATGGTAAAATCCTACTTATTATACTGAACTTGCATGTTTTAAGAGTCCTGTACTCCTTTTTTTTTTTTTTTTTTTTTTTTTTTTTTAAAAGGAGGTGCCATGTGATGCCTTCTCTCTGATGAATACTGAAGAGATGGTAGCACCTGTGGCAGGAGTGCCCTCCTGTTTTTTATGGTTGTGGGATTTCTTTATGTGGGCTGAATATAAAGTCTGTAGAGTATGTTTTCAGTGGTACTGATATAATTCTTATCAGAGAGAGTTTGGAACACGAGCTCTATTCAGAAGGGTAATCTGAAGTAAACCTGCTGAGTGAAATGAGCACTTCAGGCAGCTCAGTATTGTTTCCTGCAAAATCTGTGGCCTTTTCCACAGAGATGGAAACATTCAAGAACTATTATTAGTTTCTAAAGGTGTAAAGAACAATACCAGGAAAACCCTTTGGACTCTGTGCCCTTAAGAAATCTGTAGCAAACTAGGAAGTGTGGCTTTTGACAAGGGAAGCCTTTAGTATTTGGAATCTGATAAGCTGTTCCAAAGTGGCCTTCCTCTGCCCATCTGACCCTGCGTATCTCTGCATGTCTGAAGAGTCTTTTGTCATATCAAAGCATATCCCAAGAGCCTTTTGTCTGTCTTTCTTTTTGACTCTGTCCTATTTACTCTCTGATTTCCTCACTGTGGAGGAGTGGCAGCAGCACTGATGGTATAAGAATAGAAATTACGGCAATAGAGAATGGGAGGTTTCTTTCTGCATCTAGAACTGAAGAATAAAAATTAAGTCACCTGAGATATAACAATGCTTACTGTATTGGGGGCTAATAATAAATGGCAGTTACTTCTTGAATTTCTCTGCCCAATTGCTTTTATAAATATACTTCTCTGAGTAAGACAGTAGTAAAACTATTTAGTTGACTTGAATCTCTGTGCACTACCTTTAGTTGCTTTTTTAAAGATGTTTTTAATCTTTTGAGGAGATTGATGGAATGCATTTGAAGATGAGAAATCAAACCTCCCTTTATCTTTTGTTGAAAGGATACCACTGGAGCTCTGCCTGCAAGCTACCAGCCCCTCAATATTTGTGTTTGAGAGGCCTTTTGTCAAATTTCATGTCTCTGGGCAAGTTTTGCCTTAAGTCAGTGTATGAACCTTACCTTGATGTCAGTGGGAATTTAATGTGTATTTAAAGGTAGAATGTCTTTTTATTTTGGTGGTGTTGAGGCAAAAGCTCTGTACACCTTCAGTGCAGAGGTTTGATTGTCACATGAGACAAAATGAGGGAGTTAGTTTGAGCACGGCTACCTGGGTGGGTTTTGCTGAGGTGCTGTTACACATCCTTAGCTGATGTTTGAGTTTTACTTGTACCGTTAGCAAATCTCTAGTGCGGGGAAACCAAACCAGTGATGTGCTGGGGTAGTAAAAAGTGATTGCCTCTAATGCTTTGCTTAAGCTACTGGGCTGCAATGTCTGAAAATTATGTTCTAGGGTGCTTAATTATTAAAGCTGCTCAGTTGTACCCTTTTCTTCTTAGTTTTTCTCATGTGTGGTCCATGGAAGTTGCCTGGTGTGAAAGGCTGTTAGAAAATATGAGAAATGAGCTTATAGATACGTGAGACTTAGTACTAGCTCATCATTTATTTTCTGAGGCTCTTTTCATATAAAAATATGGGAATGTGACGCTTCAGGTTCTGCCATGTAAACACACTAGGACAGAGTGTTAGTTGGAAATAACTTTTCTAAATTAATTCTGGCCCTGTTCACGCTGAGTTCAGTTCTTCCTTTATGGATGGCAGCGTAGTAGTGGCTGTTGTGCTTTTATTGTTGTATTGACAAAGCCTTTTCTCAGCCCAGGCAGCATTCATACGCTGGTTTCTCCCTTTCACCTCTGACAGGTTCGATCCTGGCCCATATACAAAAACAGAAGCACTTCAATGAGCGAGAAGCTAGTAAAGTGGTGAGAGATATTGCTTCTGCTCTAGATTTTCTTCATACAAAAGGTAAGAGAAGACTGTCTCCATCTTTACTAGTTGATATTGCACACTTAGGTTACGGAACATAATTTGTCCATAAGTATTCAGCCTTTTCTAGCATTTCTACTTCCAGCAATGGCGAGTAACTTATGCTGTTTTCTTCTGTAATATTATTTTCATAATGTGGTAGTTTAAGTAATTGGCTGTGTTAAGATAGTATAGCGTTTTGAAGAAGAGAAGTTAAATTGGCATCCAGGGAGAATGAACATTAGGGTTGAATCTGTTTGCTGGTTCTTACCTCAGCCACCATGTAAAGGTTACTCAAAAAGGGAGCTAACATTCTATTTAATTTCCTCCTCTTTCAGGTCTGCAGAGATGCTGTTCTATTCTTACCCAGAATTTCTGCTGGTTACAAGACAACTTTGTAGTATCTTTTGGTCTCCCCATTTAGACACCCACTACTGGATTGAGAGACCTACAAGTGAACCATAGTCCTTGTTTGAAGGTGTCCTTACTTCATGAGGGTTTTGGTCAGATTTAAAAGCAGCTCTCTTTTATATTAACATGTTTTCCTGCTGCTTTTTCTACTTGGGAGTACTTTTGTTTTATTTCAAAATACATATGTCATCCCAAAGTATATATTCGTGTTGAACGTGATAGATACCTTTAAAATCTTTCTTGTGTCATCATAATCTGGTCCTGCATAGATTAAGCAGCTTCAGTTCATGTTACTGTGATTACTTCTAAATAGAATGGTGTGGAGCTGGAGGGTATAATTACTGATTATTTATTTTGATAAATTTTTCTCTCCATTTCTTTTGCCATTCTGATTAGTCGGGTAGATCTCAGCAAATCTACATTTGCTGTCTTAAGTTGTTCAGCAGTGGCCCGAGTTCAATAAATGTTTAGTTGTAGGCTTTATTTGTAAGTCACAGGACTGCTTATGTGCTTGAATTGGAATCACAGCATTGGTATCTTCTTAGGTTGAACCCATTAAAAAGAAAAGTGCATAGGGAACAAAGAAAGTAGTAAACCTGAGGAATATGGATCTTGTCACATGTTGTGACTATGTTAGGAGAGTTTAATTTGAATGTGGAAACAATCTTAGTTTGGATTAAGATTTTTGATAATCTTTGTAGCCTCTCTGTGCGATAACACAATTTAAAACCTGCAGAGAGTGTGCTCTCTGAATACCTGTGTTTAGAAAATTTTACCTTTGAGAAATGGGGCAGGAAACTTAAGCTGAGCATGTGGAGAGTTGTGTTAGGGCTATATGAGGTTGCTTAACAGCTGAAAGTCTAGGAAAATTTGCTAATAACTTTTTGTAGTTCTGTCTCAGCTTTTGGTTTTAATTCCCCTTTCCCCAAGCAAGAGGGGAGTGATTCATTAAAATGGCTTTAGAGCAGCAATCCACTTTCATGTCGTTTGCTGTGAATTGGTACAGTGGGAACGTGGCTTGCAGAATTGGCTACAACACTCCCTTTCATTTTATTGTTCTCTTTATGGTTCTTCCGAGCGACGTTAAAATAATTAGTAAGTAGCATGCAGAACGCTGAGGTAAACAGGAAATTAAAGCAGTTTTATTGCACAGCTTAATGGTGAAGTGCTATAGCTAGATGCTTTAAAAAAAATAAAATGAATGAGGGCAACTAATTCTTTTGCCAGGAGTAGTTTAAAACTCAGCTGGATGATAATACTGCCTTACACCCACTTGGGATATGTGTGCTTTATTGCTAATAATCCACTGGAGGAGTGTTCAGAGGCAGTTGTTTTCTTTTCTCAGCCCCGTGTGCAACTGCAAAATAAAGTGTTGTGTAATCAGACATTTGAATTCAAACTATAATACAAAAAAGTGCCAAGCCAGCTGTTGGGAGTTTTGTCAGCCTTGCTGTAAATATCAGTGGGGGTCATCTTGGTGGATTCATTATGTCTTCTTCCATGCATAATCATAGACTGGCCTAGGTTGGAAGGGGCCTTAGAGATCATCTAATCCAACCTCCCCGTCACGGGCAGGGATGCCGCTGAACTGCATCATTATGAAAACTCTACTTCATTTAGATTGGTGCTGTGCTGTTAATGTCTTATTTTAAGTCACGTCTTGTGGAGTGTGCTGAAGAAAATACGTTAGAAACAACTTTACCTGGAATTTGGCAAGATTTCTTTCTCATGCTCTGCAGTACTATCAAGTGTGCTTGGAGTGTTATTTTTTAAAGCAAGGCTAGAGTGCAGTTAAATTACAGACACGTTGCTCATTTCATTGGATTTTTTGCTTCTCATTTGGTGCCTTTCCATTAAGTTTGATTATATTAAATGTACAAATTCCAGAAATTGCGTGTTGAGGCTTTGACAACACAGATCCACTTTGGCATGTGAATTGCACGGAATTTTGTGCTTCCCTGTTGGATTTGCTATTCCAATAGCACTTGAATGAATGAAGTGAGCCTTTGGTTGTTCTCCTTTAGTTTTTCTTCTGCATCTCCAACCTAACCCTTTGATTTTTCTTTTGCTTCAGCAGTGAGTACATACCTCAGTGTTAAAGGGATGATACTTTCCTGTGAAAATTTCATGTGTTTTTTGGGGAGACAGTGTCTCGGGTATTGTCTGTGCTGGTAGGAGTTTAGCAAAGCACCAGTTGATCCATCTAGGAAGAGGGACCTTACTGCAGAAGGCACAAAATCTTTTTACTAAACTGTATACACAAGTAAACTTTCCTGCAGGTCAGTCATCTAAATAAGTGGGGTTTAATTAATGTAATTAATTTAGGCTAAGCCAGAAAGTTCCAGTGTTAGCAGGTTCTTATTTGCTTGACTGGCTCACATACATTTATAGATGGTAAAGGCATAGCAGGATGTAACAGTGACTTTTTAAAACATGCTTTGCAATTAAATTATTTGCACAGGGCGTGTGTAGCAGAGTCAGACCTAGAATCTTTCCCAGGCCACCTTCTAATAATGAGCAGTAATGAGAAATAAAACAGGAGAGTATCTTCTCTAATGAATGTTGTACTCTTGTTTAGGTATTGCTCACAGGGACTTGAAGCCTGAAAACATCCTGTGTGAATCTCCAGAAAAGGTGCTGCTCTGATCTCTTAACTTTCTGAAGTGCATTTTTTAATTTGCTTTCCAAAACACACCCTCATGTCCCATCTAGTCTCTTCTTGAAAACTTTTAAGCCCATTAATGAATTAAATTTAAATTACATTTAAAAAGAGGCTAACTACTTCTTTAGGATGTAAAAATGTGAGCACCTGGCTGAGAAATAAAAATCAAACTGTTCTCAAGGAGAGCGTGGCAATTGCAACTTAGCACCTCCTGTGCTCTGAGGCATCACCCAGGTGGACGAGCAACATTTACTGGCCAGCTGGTCACGTTAGGTATCATTCCCAAACCACCCCGATGTGTACCGGCACTTGTCTGGCCAAATGAAAAAATATAATGGAATAGGGTCAGATGTTGGCAGTGTGGGAACAACTGCAGCAGAGGAGGCAAATGCAAGGAGCGGAACATAGCTGTGAGAGGCTGAATTTTACTGGTCCTGCTGCTAGAACAACTTGTACTCTGTCCTGAGGTTTCCCACATGGAGCTGTATATGTATATATTGGATCAGTCTTTGGGCCCTCTTACTGTTTTGTCCTTGTTTTCAGATATCACCAGTAAAAATATGTGACTTTGATCTTGGTAGTGGGGTGAAGCTGAACAGTGCGTGCACTCCAATAACGACTCCTGAATTAACAACGCCGGTAAGAGACCTACTGTGGCTTCATGCCTTTTTTGTTTGTTTGTTTTTTCTTCTACCATAAAACAGTTATTCTTATCTCCAGAGGAGAGCTTCCAGAGGGCTTACTGCCAGTTACAGAAATCACCTCCCATGATATACTTGTCTACTTTCTGAAAAGCCTGATAACTAACAGATAAGATTTAGAAACCTGAAAGATGGAAATTAATATATTGACCTTGCATAAAGGATCGTAGATTCATATGGAATAGATTATGATTCTGCTAAAGAACAGTAGGAACTCTTTTAATTTGTTTCCTGTGCAATATGCAACAGTTGTGATTTGGCTTAACAAAATGATACGTGCAATGAAAGCCACCAGTAAACTTCAGTAGTCCCTGATACCTGATTCTGCTTTTAGACCAGACCACCTACTATGAAGAGAGGAGAATGATAAACCTGAGTCTTGTTTTGATTTGACCCTCCCTTTGAAAACTTGCTTGAATTTGATTTCCTAGTGTGGATCTGCAGAATACATGGCACCTGAAGTGGTCGAAGTCTTCACTGAGGAGGCCACATTCTATGATAAGCGATGTGATCTGTGGAGCCTGGGAGTGATTCTTTACATCATGCTCAGTGGTTACCCTCCTTTTGTGGGCAACTGCGGTACAGACTGTGGCTGGGACAGAGGAGAAGTCTGCAGAGTTTGCCAGGTAAATGCTCGTGTCCTGGGCTTATGTGGGAGACTGTAGTTTGTCCTGTGAACTTAGGGTGTAGACTTGCCGTAATGGCATCAGTGAAGAGCTGTGTCTGTACCCCAACCACTGATCTGGGAGGTTAAGCTGTCACTGAGAAGTGAGGGTGTCTAATACAGAAGTTGTCATCACTCAGGTAAGGTTTGGCAGCTGCCTCTTTTTTCTTCCTGATGGGAGATCTCTGAGCTTAGAATCACAGAAGCGTTTAGGTTGGAGAAGACCTTGAAGATCATCAAGTCTAACTGTTACCTCAGCACTGCCAGGTCCACTAAACCAGGTCCCCAAGTGCTGCATCTGCACGTCTTCCAAATACCTCCTGGGATGGTGGCTCCACCTGGGGAGCCTGTTCCAGTGCTTGACAACCCTTTTGATAAAGAAATTTTTCCCAATATCCGATCTAAGCCTCCTGGCACAGCTTGAGGCTGTTTGCACTTGTCCTGTTGCTTGTTACGTGGGAAAAGAGTCTGATCCCCACATTGCTAAGGCCTCCTTTCAGGTAGGTGTAGAGACTGATTAGTTCTTCCCTCAGCCTTCTTTTCTCCAGGCTTTTCTCCAGATTCTCTTTGTCCTTTTTCTGACCTCAAGACTCCTGTATTCTGTAATTCTTGATCTGAATTATGGTAGTTGCCACAATTGCTCACGTAAAAGTTGAGCCCAGAAAAGTCTGTGTATTTATTTTTTCTAAAAGCTGAGCATGTTGACTGCAGTGTTAAGGAGTTGGGGGGAAAGGTTATTTTTAGCAGTGTGTCACGTCCGACTTTTAGGATGTGTTGAATCGCTCTGTGGAGCTGCCTATCGTACTCTATTGACTCCGTAAGGAGACTGAATGGTTTCGGTTGTCATCCACCACATCAGGTGGATAAAATTGAGCGAGGAGAATTCCACCTGAGGAGTCTTTCGGTTGCACTCTACTTGTTAATTAAATTTAAGAAATTTTCCTTTACTAGAACAAGCTTTTTGAGAGCATTCAGGAAGGCAAGTATGAATTTCCTGACAAGGACTGGTCGCATATATCCTCTGAGGCCAAAGATCTCATCTCAAAGTTGCTGGTTCGTGATGCCAAAGAACGACTTAGCGCTGCTCAAGTTTTGCAGCATTCATGGGTTCAAGGAGTATGTATCCACCTTTGTATTTTTTTAGAGTTATTCATCTTTCAAAGTGATAAACAAGCTGTTCCTTGTCTGTGAACTTTTACTAGAGTCATTGCATGATTTAATGCTCTTGATTAATTAAATGATACACAGTGGCTCTGTTCTTTCTGGAGGATCTGTGTGGTAAATACTTGGATGAATCTGTCAAGCTTTGTGGTGTTGTTTGTTGTTAGTTTGTTTGGTTTTTTTTAATTATTGCTTTATGAATGTTAAATGGCTTTCTTGTGAGTACCGAGCACCGCATTACACGAGTTATTATGTTCCTCCTTAATACAATAATGCAGAATGCTGGTAGGTATGGTTTTAAAAGAAGAGCACTGTGCTCTTTTGCTTTAGTTCCAGTTCAGAAGAGAGGGCATAGATCCTCTGGAGAGCTTCGGGAGCATTGATCTTATACCTGCAAACTGTGGTATCTTCTTGTGAGGGGAGACAGATTATGAAATGTGATTTGTAAACCCACAGTGAATTGGTTTATATGCAATATCCATTAGTTTTAAAAATTTGGAGGGGTGTCATCTGTTTGTATTGCTCTCTCTTGGGGAAGTGTGGTTCCCAGCTGCTGATATGTAACTAACTTTTCTTAACTGCTTCTTCTAGCAGGCTCCTGAACGGGGATTACCTACCCCTCAAGTTCTTCAAAGGTAATATATATATTTTTTTTTTTAATATCTGTAAACTTGGCCAAGAATCATTACTGAAAGAATGGGGAGAGATAAGAAGTGACAAGTCAGGGGGTAAGATCCCTGGTTGAGAGTGGAACTTCATAAATGTGCAGCACTAATTTTGTTAAGAACTTCTGAAATATTAAAGCTCTGATTTTTCTTTATGATTTAGTCTTGCTTGTTTGTGGGAAATGTACTGGAGAGGATTCCTGCAGTGCAGTTCTGATCTTAGGAAATAACGATGGGTTTGGCAGTTTGATGCCCAGGAAGGGAAAAAAGGCATAAAGGCGTGTGTTATCCAACGAGATTGCTTTCTGATGGGTGAATAATCGTCATACACACATGGGTCTGACTTCCATTCTTTGGACTTCGGGAGTCCTTGACAGAATGAGGACTAAAGCTGTGGCTGTTTCCAAAGTCCCAGGGTATTTTTGTTATGTGTTGCTGGTCTTCGCAGTGAAGAGAGATGCAAATATTAACGGGTCGTTTTTGCCTGCCATGTCCATGTTTTGATAGCAGAAACAAAACTACCTGGGGATAGGTGTTCTGCCATGAGGGCAGCCAGGCGAAGTGGCACGCTGTGTTGTAACTGCTTTCTCCTTTAACCTTGAAAGGAACAGCAGCACGAAAGACCTGACACTTTTTGCTGCTGAAGCTATAGCCCTTAACCGTCAGTTGTCTCAGCACGAGAACGAGCTCAGCGCAGAGCAGGAGAACGTTGCCCGTGCCGTGTGCTCCATGAAGCTTTCCCCTCCGTCCAAGTCTCGCCTTGCCAAGCGCAGAGCAATGACACACGCCACCAAAAACAGCGACTTTCAGCCAGTTCCCCATAAAGCCTTTTAAACTTCCTCCTTGCTATGGATTGGCAAGATCAGCCTGTGTTCTCATTTGGATTTTCAGCGCCGATAAAAGCTTCTCTGCTTCTGACACTTTGATTAGAAGCTTGCTCTTGTGATGTGACTTGTAACTTTTAAGGGGACAGCTTTTTATGGGAATGTTTTTTGCCTGTCACATTTGGTGCATTAGGATAATTTAACTGATCTTTTTAAACTGGAGAAGATGGGTTTGCTGCTGTATTATCTGAGCTGATAAATCACTAAGCTTTATTTTCTTCTTAGAAGAGCATGCTTTAAAATGAAAACTCCAAAACATCAGAAAAAAACCCAACCAAAACACTTTCTTGCTTTGCCCAGCAGATCATAAGTCTCTCCCTGCCCATGGCTGCTCTCCTTACTGGCACATCTTGCAAGGTGCTGCTGCTAGTGTCAGCAGTGGGGCTGCTTCCAGCCAAGAGTGCCCTTCTCTCTTTCTGTACACTCAGGAAAAGGAGACGGTGACGAGCAGATCTCTGTCTCCATTACCTTCGTGGGGTTTAAATTGTGAGAGGGTGAACCTGTAGTGGTGCGAGGATCGCTCAGGCTTGTAGAGATGAAAACGACCAGGTTATTTTTTATTTTCACATTGATAGTTTGTGTGTCAGCGTGTGGGATGAAAGCTGGGGGGTGTGTTATTTCTTTATCTGGTATCTTTTTTGTTCTTAACCAAAGTATACTCCATATCAAGTGTTGCTTTTTTTGCTGTTGGGTTGGTTTGGTTTTTTTTGGTGTGTCCAGTATGCCCTCTTTTCTGACAGTTACATTCTTAAGTCCGATAACCAGAGAACTGCAGCATAACAGACTGTTTTTATAACAGTTTATATTTAGTATCCGTTTGGTTTGTTGTTTTTTTTTCCTCTAGTAATGCTATGCTCAGTTATATCTTCTCCGTAAGCTCATATTTCTTTTCTGAATGTCACCTGGAGTTCTTAATGTGAATGGACAGGCTTCGCTGAATTATGGTGTGTGAACAATTTAAGATTATCAAATGCAGAGGAACATCAATACAAAAATGGTGCTGCTGCTGTTGCGTTCTGCCTCCTGTGGTGACCTCTGGCTGGGTGTCTAAATTTTTTGCTTCCAGTTTCAGTACAGCAGTGCACGAGGGGTCAGGAGGAATTTGGAAGGACGTTGGCTGAAGATTTTGAGTGACCAAGGTGAGGTGTCTGTGGAGAAAGACACAGATGTTGAGCACTTTCTGAAATATTAACTGTGAAAATTGGGCTGCTAAGATGCCTGTTGTGATGCACCTTAAACTTGCCATTTCTCAAACCCTTTGCCCAGGGCATTGTGTGCAGGGTAGAGAGGGGGAGGCCCTCGAGTGCTAGCACAAAACCTTCCCAAGCAGAATGAGAAGGAATAAAGTGGCAGATCCAACAGGCGCTTGGAAATTGAAAGGTCAAAGCTGAATGTGTTTGCGTGGCCTGTTCAGAGCGGTTTTACATTATCTTATAGCAGTGTGCATACAGCTATTTTTATACAACATGATGTATTTTGTGACTAATATGAAAGTTGTTATTTAAAAGATTTTATACATTGTGCCAGTGGATGGATTATGAAATGTATTTTGCTTTGTTTTTATTAAAATGCTTTAAGGTATGGATTTAACACATTTGGCAGTTCTGTGGTTTTTTTTTCCTCTTGATTTTTGTTGACACAGAAAAGTAGAGAATTACTTCCTTTTATGTGTGACACTGGATTTAAGACAATTTAAGTCTCCGAAGACTAAGCATACCTCCCTCTTCTAGTGCTTCATCAGTCTCTGGGGGCTCCTGTGATCTCATGTTTCTGGAGGTAGAATGAAGATAAGACTGCACGTAGAGGGCCGGAAGGGATCCTGTGATCCTTTTGACCTTCATAAAGGATCAAATAACGGGGGGCTGTTGAATTCAGATACTTATCTGTGCTGTTGCATTTCATGTTCTTCCCTTTGATTTGTGCATGAAGCACAAAAATCCTGAAGCTTGACCAGGAGCCGTGGTACGGTGCAGACTGCTGTGTTTAGATAGAGCCCTGAAGCCTTTCCGACTCCAGAAATCTAAGCAGCAACATTACCATGGAAGTGTGAAAAGGTGATGTTAATGGTGCTGCTCTTCAAGAGGTGATGAGGTCTGGTAAATTAATTCCACTGCTGGTAAGTAGCTCTTTGCAGACTTTCCTCAGCACCACTGATGGCAGAGGTAGCCCCAGAGAGTGAGTTAGCGGAGCAAAGACCAAAGCTGCAGATGCTGTGTTCTTGGGTGGATTGTTAGTTTGGACAGTCAGTCCTTTCCTCTGTCTCTAAAACCTGGCATGGGAAGTGAATCCAACGCGTGTGTCTTCTGCACAGCAAGGAGGAAGCTGGCTTGCTGGCTAGATTGCTTTCCCTTTACAAAAGAGCTTGGGAAGAGAATGAAATGTCCAAAGAAAACCGTAGTTTGGGGATATTCACACCATTACGTCTGGTTAGTGGCACTGCAGTCTAGACGAGCAAGTACTCCTCTGCGCTTGAAGCCTCCTCCTGCGCGAGGAGAACACTTCTGCTGTTGGGTGTGTGCAGTGCGAAGGATTTTAAGCACTGATGTGTGAAACCTTGGAAGCACCCAGCAGGATGTTGACATGGTTAAATGTTGCCTGATGCTTATGACAAGCCTTTCAGCTGATGGCTCGGACCTGTCTGGCTCTTGTGGTGCTCTCAGCTGCCTGGAGATGCTGCCAGCAGCCGCCTCCACAGGTGACCTCTGTTAGAGCATCCTTGCTCCTCACTGGTATGTACTTGCAGACTCATCTGTTCAGGGCCTGAAGCTATGATGCTGAGCTTTTCACTGAAGAGCTAAAATCTGGACAGGCTTTTCCTTCTTCTGCAAGGCAGTGACCGCTGACAGAGAGGAAAGCAAGCAGCAGGTAGTGGTAGCTGCTGGAGCTGTGTAACGCTGGAAACTGAGAAAACCTCCCTAAACAGGGGAGAGGTGCTTAATTTAAGGCAGTTCTGCTCTCAGGTGTAATCTAGTTTTCACTGCAGGGTAGTTTTTTAGTTTCTTTAAGGGTCTGCATTTAAGAGATTTTATAATGGAGTTTGGGTGGGGAAGGTTGTTTGGCCAGAGAGGCCGGGTACAGCACTCCCCAGTGCCCCGTGAGGGTCGTGCCATAATTGGATCACTCCATCTGCAACAAGCATGGTGGAGTTTGGGTTCCTTTTTCAGCGAAGTCTGAGAAGAGCAGGGATCCCAAACCAGGTGGCAGGCTCTTTACTGGTACTCACCTTTCTTTCAAATGAAATCTGCCGTGTTGACATGAAATACTTTTGCTTGAACTGTGCTTTAAAACCATCTGCTTCTCCTTCCTCCCAGGCAAGAGAGCACAGGAGACCTCCTAGCTGTGGTACAAGAGTGATTTTTCAGTGGGACAGGTTTTGGGTCTTTCTTTGCTTCAGAAAGAGAAGCTGGATTCAGCTGATGGTCCAACAGTCTCTCATCACAGGTGCC